GACACCTGACAAGCTCTGGTTGAACTTGTTGCCAAAGGTCAAAGTCTGCAGGCTGCTTGGCAAGGTGACACCTTCCAAGCTCTGGTTGAAACAGCGGCCGAATGTCAAAGTCTGCAGGCTGCTTGGCAAAGTGACACCTTCCAAGCTCTGGTTAAAAGAGTAGCCGAATATCATAGTCTGCAGCCTTCTTGGAAAGGTGACACCTTCCAGCTTCATGCCGAAGGTCAAAATCTGCAGGCTGCTTGGCAAGCTCGCACCTGACAAGCTCTGGTTGAAGTCCACGCCGAAGGTCAAAGCCAGCAGGCTAATGGGCAAGGTGACACCTTCCAGGCTCTGGTTGAACTTCCTGCCGAAGGTCAAAGTTTGTAGGCCGCTTGGCAAATTTACACCTTGGAGGCTATCGTTAAACTCGTAGCCAAAGATCAAAGTCTGCAGGCTGCTGGGCAAGCTGACACCTGCCAAGCTCTGGTTGAAAGAGCCGCCGAATGTCAAAGTCTGCAGGCTGCTTGGCAAAGTGACACCGTCCAAATTCTTGTTAAAGTCCTGGCCGAAGTTCAAAGTCTGCAAGCTGCTGGGCAAGATCAACTCCATCACTGGCATTACAGTTGAAGGACAACGTCTGAAGACTGTCTGGAAAGGTCACACCATCCAAGCTCTGATTGAACTTGCCACCAAAGGTCAAAGTCTTCAGAGTGCTTGGCAAGGTGACACCTTCCAAGCTCTGGTTGAACTTGTTGCCAAAGGTCAAAGTCTGCAGGCTGCTTGGCAAGGTGACACCTTCCAAGCTCTGGTTGAAAGAGCGGCCGAATGTCAAAGTCTGCAGGCTGCTTGGTAATCTGACACCTTCCAAGCTATGGTTGAATCCTGTGTCAAAGGTCAGACAGGCGATGGCATATATAACTGTCGCATGTGTGTGCACGTCGTCTCTTGTCCTGTCTACAAGGGCTCTTCGGAACTTAATCGCTGCCTCCAGTGCACAAACCTGTCGAACTACATATGAGATCTCTCGGCCACACACTGCTTGCTGCAAAGGTTGGAAAGGTCCTGGAGGAGCTCACTGTCAGCAAAGAGGACAATATTTCGACCAGCTTTCATGCCAATGTTTCTTGCGATTGTGTTGGAGAGGTCGCCCACCTGAGGAATGCTTCGTTGATTGAACATTGAACATTGGAAAAGCACCCATTAAAAAACGACACAGATTTGACGGAAAGTCTCATCAGTAGAAGAATATCAGGCCAGCTCCTGGTCCTGTCGAACCTATGGTCCATGGATAATACTTGAAACGTTGGGCGAAGGATTTTAATTGAAAAACTGTATTTAAATCCTTCGGGGCAGATGTCATTTTGTATGTTTTAAATGTGCCAAGGTCGGGGCTGACTTTTTTTTTCACTGAGATTCTGTCGTATTAAAATCCTCCGGCCGACGTTTTAATATAATCCTGGGGCCGACGTTTTATTATAGTCCTGGCCCTAACCTACATGATCACATCTGATACTGAATTCATGGGCTTATTTAAATCCTAGTATAGACGTCAAATCCCCTCACATGTCCCCCCAAAATTTGTATTTTTTTCCTTCCGGACAAGAAATGTAGACCACTGGTCCGGGACAAGCGCGTGCCATCATCACCCAAAGGAAAGCTGCGAGAAGCCCACCCACACACCCAACAATGCAAGAGAGGTTCGCAGTCATGGCATCACTTTTGATGTCCTGTGGTGTCAAGTGATCATGGGTCTTTAAATGCTGGAAGCTAGAGTCTGCATTGACTCCAGTGCTCACTGACATGAGGAAGTAAGCGACATAGACAGCCAAAGCAACTACAGTAAGCAAGAAGAGTATTGCCCATGGGAGGTCTTGACATTTCCGGTGTTTGGGGAATCTGGGCAAATCCCCACACATGTCCCCCCAAAATTTGTATTGGCCTGGCATTTTTGAGGCACCATGACAAGATTATAGAAGGACATGCATGTTCTTAAAAAGCAACGGCCATACACCGAGGTCGGACAATCGAAACGGGTCATCGGGTCCTCGGTCAAAGTCCCAAAATAGTAAGGCCAGGAGCCCCTAGTAGCGTCTTTTGTATTAAAATTAGACCTTGACCCCGTGCAAGCACTCACAGACTGGGAAAACATGCATGACTACATTCCGGGTACATGCATTATTAAATTCCGGGCCTGAGGTACCATGTGGTCCTCATTTTTGCTGGTATGTTATTTCAACATGATTATTAAAATCCTTGTGCCAAGGGTTAATTTTTTCTGGTAGCAAGCTTTGGGATTTTTTTGGCGTCGTATTATTTTCCTGGGCGCCAGCGAAAAACACAAAAACATTCTTATTTTTCCTGGGGTTGACCCCTAGGATTTTAATATGGATTATTTAAGGAATATAAACCTGCAAGAAACCAGTTCGGGGGTCGAAGTTATATACAGCAACACTGGACAATCCATCTGTCCCCATCTCATCAATTCTCTTCATTGGAACTAATGAACCGGAAACTTCAGGTGGTTGGATCATGCGAACTTACCTTTCTGTTTGGAGTGGCTGTCTTGAGACTTCCGGTGTGAACAAACCGTCATTTGGCGATGACCAAGAATTCCTGCACCACAACCTGGCCACAATTAGATCTTTCTTCAGATGTCCACCCCGGAAAGTACACATGGGACCCCTGTTTTGCCCTCTCGTTCCAAGGTGGGCACAATTGTGTCAAGAAAAGAACAACATGCACCAAAATCAACAGTCTTCTTAGAAAATCTGTTCGTCAGAATCCTGCCGCTGACTTTGGACACTCCAGCATTTCTAACAGAATAACAAAGACCCTTGCTTGGACGCGGATTGCGTGGCCACAAAAAGTGTTGTCTCGTCATAGTACTAGCCAAATACATGGGACAAAGAAAAAGCCTCCAAAGATCGAGAGCGCACTTGCTAAGACACACACAGGACGACAGGTTGATACAGGTTGTGCTAGAACTGCGACGCACCCTTGACGCGATCTGCAGAACCACACCGTGTGGTCCGTTCGCCGCAGTGGTCGTCTCACTCACTTGGAGCTGACACGTGGTGGTCTCCTCGAGACCGTTGATGGTCCAGAGGCGCTGCGAGGCCTCTGCCAGGAGCCTAAGGCACGTGGAAGTCGGGCCCCAGAAATGAACGTGGTAGGTCACGGTCCTCTTTCATTCACCCATGATATCAAGCATAAAAGAAACATTAAGCTTTGAATGAACCTGCACCTCCAGTGACTCCTTTGCAAGGAGCACCCGGCTTCCTCAGTGGTCTTGAAACGGCAACAAATCCATCACATGAACCCAAACCCCCTCCAAGCTGCTCATCTGCCCGTCGCAGCAGCCGCTCTGCCCGCTCCGGATCTTCTGCGATGAAGTTCCGTAGCACGGCTTCGCATGCATCGTCCGGCAGCGACACGGACGCGCTGGTGTTGGCGCCATGCGTGTTGAATGCCACGGATTGGCTGATGGCAGAAAGTGACAAATTGCTACAAGATCCAACCGTTGGGGGAAAACCGTTGAGGGCTTGGTAATCAAAATGATACGATTGCATACGGTTGCGTCTTTTTGCGTCTTGATTTTTCTTCGGGCTGAGATGGGCCACTTCTAGCGGAGTTTCAGCAATGCGCTCTATGGCATAGAGTCTCAGCTAAAATGCCCTTGTTCCTAGTAGCTTCTTAATCCTAGTAGTAATGCCAGGAGCTACTCGTAGCTTCTTGCTACTAGTAGTAATGCCCTTGTTCCTGGTAGCTTTTTGCAAGAGCTCCTAGCTTGGAGATGTTCTTTCTTCCACTCGTCGACCTCGTTGGAACATGCTGCAGAATCTAAGGATTATCATGCCAACAAAATATGTTCTTTCATTGTCTTTCTATTTCCCCAAATAGAAAAAATGCAATACTAGAGAGGAGGTTGTTCTTTGATGTCTCACATAACATCATTATCTTGTTTTTTGGTCGCTAATCGTCACTACAAACACGAATCACAGTGAAGCTGGTGAATCTGAACTTTCACTGTTATCGCAGCTCTGGTTGAACTGCTACAGACCAAAGATACATGAGTGTTCAGGTACCCAAACACCCACATGTATGGAACACTTCCCCAGCACTGATTGCGTTCCATACAGGGATTGTTTGTCCATTATGAATCACAGCTAGATCGCAGGTCCAAAATCAACCTATACTTTGTATCACCCCTTTCCACTTCGGCTCCCATTCCTGTGGAAATACACTCATGTGTTTGGTATTCAAAGCCTTCGATCGCCAACCACCAATGTCATCTGTCTAAGAGGGAGTGAACCGGACGAAAAACACCATCTGAGTTCGTCCTTCTTCTTCGGGCGACCACTCCTCGACCACTCACCGCCTGGTGTTCGCGGATGCTTTGGGGAAACATCCTGCGACCGGATTTGTCTAATTATTGCTCCTAGTAGTAAGGCACTTGTTACTAGAAGCGATGCACTTGTTCCTAGTAGCTTATTGTTTATATATTGCTTCTCCTCTCATCTGAGCTCTGCGCTAATGAAGTACCATGCATAGGGTCGCCCCTGAAGTACACGTGGCGGTCACAGCACGAAACTTGCTATCAGAAAAAGAATACGCACGATTCTGGGAGTTCAGTTTCATACCATCATGATCCATTACCTGGTGGTGATGAGTTGGTAGGATGTCTACCCATGTCTACCCGATGATTCTTTTCCAGTACATGACTTGTGTCAAGTTCGACCATCTGGATGACGAGGATCCAAATCAAAGAACCGCTCAATGACTCAACAAGGTATATTGCGCACTCCACCCTGTGGGCAGCCAGTGGAGATAGGAACTCCCTGCAAACGGCTGTGGAACATTGAAGAAAAGAACGAACAGTCATGCAAATGGAACTTCCACTTGCCCACCCCGCTATCACTGGGGCATATTAGGAACCTTGTGGCATATGATGCGTTCTTTCCAACATCAGCCGTCAGCCACCAGAAGAACGCCGTATTGCATCGGTGGGCGTGCGAGTCACATCTGCAACGGAACCTCAGGAGAATCCTCTTTCGACCTCGAAGTCCCAGACACCTTACGAACATCGACTCAATAGATTGTCTGAAAAACCGACTCGTTGCGGGTCCCCGCCACGTTGACGCGTGACGGACATAGGGCAGCAGTCTGAGACAAATGTTTATAACCTTATTCCAGTCCACGCTTCTACTAAAGACTGATACTTCAGTTTACGCAAATGCATGGGCAGCGCAATCAATCGGCAAGTGAGAAAGAGAAAGATTCCCATTAGTTCACAGTTCCCTTCTTTCCAAAACCACTACCATCTTTTGCTTCTGGTGATTCCCATGACCACTCACTTTCCCGCAAAATATATCAACTGCTCGAACTCAGTCTCGAGAACAAAGGCCAAGAGTTCGAAATGATGCGAACGAAAGCCGGCGCCTTGGCGATGACCACGGTGTCCGGGATGCTGAAGCCGAAGTTCTCCGCAAAGCCTCGGAGACATGTTTGGCTTCGGCGCCTCGTCCGATCCACGCGTCAACACCTCCGGTCGGTGGCCGCTTCAACGGTGATGATTCCGGAGACAAAGTGATGGGACTGGAGATCCAGTTCTCCACCCT